GCCTCCCTTCAGTTGACCTTGGAGCAGATGGTCCTCAATCAAGATGAATAGACAATAGATCGAGCAGCTGGAGCGGATCGGGGAGACCAAGAGGAAGCCACCGAAAGCTTGGCCGCCCGCACGGGGCGAACAAGAACGAAGTGGCGGAGGAAGGTCGCCAGCGAAAGGCGGAGGTTACCCGCCTAAAAGAGGCCGAAGCCGAGCTTATCAAGACGAACGAGGCTCTTGACCCGGACTTGCCAAACTGCTAAGAGAAGGTCGCTGAGTTGGAGTCAACTGTCATGTTTGAACATGAGGAAGGCTTCAACAAAGCCCTTCGCCAGGTATCTCTTTTGGCGGGCATTCCAGAACCGTTCTCCCTCGCGTGATATGAAAAGGACGTCTTTGATGGCGTCCTGGTAGCCTGAATGCCGCCGAGGAGGATGAGCCACCATGGAGGCCAGGGATGGGGGAATAATTAGGTTTTTATTTCGTTTTATTTTTGTGTGTATCATGTGGCCGTCCGCCCAACGTCTCGGATTGTCCAGAGGTTGGCCGGACGGTCCCTTTTGTAAATCTGGGCGCATTTTAGCGTCAATGATTAATACACAGTTGCTTTTTCCGGTTCCGCATATCTTCTTATGTGCGCCTTTTATTCTTACAACGTTAACTGACTTTAGTAATAGTCCGTCCTGGGTGGGGATTGCACTTCCCTTATCCGGGCGGACGGTAACGTTTAGCTTTTGGACGTTTAATCTTCGCTTCGTCGCTCAATCAAGCTGAGAGTCGTTCTCTTTGGAACGCTCTTTTTCACCAGCTGGGTCGTAATAGGGCGGACGGTCCTTCGCTTCGTCGCCCCACCAAGCTGAAGAGTGTTCTCGTGGAACACTGTTTCACCGCTTGGGTTTGATAGGGCGGACGTCTGCGCCTCGTCGCCAACCAGCTGAGAGTTGTTCCGTTGGCAACACTCTTTTTCGCCAGCTTGGGTTTGATAGGGCGGACGAATTCTTCGCTTCGTCGCCCAACCCAACTGAGAGTTGTTCTCGTTGGAACACTCTTTTCACCAGCTTGGGTTTGATAGGGCGGACGTTCCTTCGCTTCGTCGCCCAACCCAAGCTGAGAGTTGTTCTCGTTGGAACACTCTTTTTCACCAGCTTGGGTTTGATAGGGCGACGGTTCCTTCGCTTCGTCGCCCAACCAAGACCGAAGAGTTGTTCTCGTTGGAACACTACTTTTTCACCAGCTTGGTTTGATAGGGCGGACGTTCCTTCGCTTCGTCGCCCAAACAAGCTGAGGTTGTTCTCGTTGGAACACTCTTTTCACCAGCTTGGGTTTGATAGGGCGGAAGGTCCTTCGCCTCGTCGCCCCACCAAGCTAGAGTTGTTCTCGTTGGAACACTTTTTTTCGCCAGCTTGGGTTTGATAGGGCGGACGGTCCTTCGCTTCGTCGCCACACACCAAGCTGGAGTTGTTCTCGTTGGAACACTCTTTTTCACCAGCTTGGGTTTGATAGGGCGGACGTTCCTTCGCTTACGTCGCCCATTCAAGCTGAGTGAGAGTTGTTCTCGTTGGAACACTTTTTTCACCAGCTTGGGTTTGATAGGGCGGACGGTCCTTCGCTTCGTCGCCCAACCAAGCTAAGATGTTTCGTTGGAAACATATTTTTCACCAGCTTGGGTTTGATAGGGCGGACGTTCCTTCGCTTCGTCGCCCAACCAAGCTGAGAGTTGTTCTCGTTGGAACAACTCTTTTTCCCCAGCTTGGTTTGATAGGGCGGACGTTCCTTCGCTTCGTCGCCCAACCAAGCTGGAGTTGTTCTAGTTGAAAACTCCTTTTCACCAGTTGGGTTTGATAGGGCGGCGGTCTTCGCTCGTCGCCCAACCAAGCTATGAGAGTTGTTCTCGTTGGAACAACTCTTTTTCCCCAGCTTGGGTTTGATAGGCGGAGGTTCCTTCGCTTCGCGCCCAACCAAGCTGAGAGTTGTTTCGGTGGAAACTCTTTTCACCAGCTTGGGTTTGATAGGGCGGACGGTCCCTTCGCTTCGTCGCCCAACCAAGCTGAGAGTTGTTCTCGTTGGAACACTCTTTTTCACCAGCTTGGGTTTGATAGGGCGGACGTACTTCGCTTCGTCGCCCAACCAAGCGAGAGTTGTTCTCGTTGGAACACTCTTTTTCACCAGCTTGGGTTTGATAGGCGGACGGGTCCTTCGCTTTGTCGCCAACCAACTGAGAGTTGTTCTCGTTGGAACACTCTTTTTCACCAGCTTGGGTTTGATAGGGCGGACGGTTCTTCTGTGGCTGGGTTGTCCGTCAACTTGGTCTCTACAAAATAAAGTTACGTTTGTAGGGGAAGAGAAATATTCTGTCATTACTTGGGAAAAAGCAAGTACTGTAATCTGGTCATAGAAATTAACTAAAGTAAAACTTAGATGTGTGGCGTTCCAAGTGTTAGGGATGGAACGTCCGTCCACGCGCTCCAGCCTATACGCCCCGTTTCCTAGGGCTTCCATTATTCGGAACGGCCCTTCCCACTTGGCACAAGCTTTCCATGCGCTGGGTTTCGGCGGGCGTCGCCAGCTTTTTCTCCACACTAAATCCCCCTCCTGGAAGCTTCTGGGCCGGACTCTTGGAGTTGTATTTTCTTTCAACCATGCGCTTGCATGCTTCGGCCCTCAATGCCGCCCGTCCCGCCGTTCATCTACGGAGTCCAACTCGATCCTCAACTCTTGGTCGTTGAGGTTCAGGTCTTCGACTTGCCGCCTCAGGGACGGTTCAGCCAGTTCCACCGGTACATGGCATCAGTACCATAAGTTAAGTTGAAAGGGGTTTCGCCTGTGGTTCCATGAGGTGTGCATCTATACGCCCATAGGACCTCGGGTAGCTCATCCACCCATGCTCCCTTCTTTTCTCCCAAACGCCGCTTAAGCTCCAGACTATGGTCTTATTCATCGCTTCCGTTTGTCCGTTCGTTGTGGGGGTGTTCTACTGAGCTGTGACGTGCTTATCCCCAATCCTTTGAAGAATTTGGCCAGTTTTCTTGTCAATAAACTGCCGGCCGTTATCTGTGATGATTGATCGAGGAGGCCGAAACGACATATCATTTCCAGCAGAACTTCTGGACCTGGGCGGCCGTGATGGTTGCCAGGGGGTGGCCTCTACCCATTTGGTAAAGTAATCCACCCCACCAGGAGGAACTTCTTCTATGCCTGTCCTACTGGAACGGTCCTACGATGTCCATACCCATTGAGAGCAACGGCCACGGGATGATATTGATGAGGGCGTCGGCGGCAGGGGGAGTTGTTGGAATGCTCTGGCAATGACGCATCTTTGACGAATGCCCTTTGTGTCCGTTTCACGGTAGGCCATAATCTCCGGCTCTCAGTAGCCGGTTTTAGCGTTTTTTCCGCAACTCTGTGAAGGCACGCAAAATGCCATTATGGCGCTCGTCCATAACGTAATGTGCTTTTTGCCTTTCCCAAGCATTTAAGGAGAGGGGAGGAGAATCCTCTGCGATACAGGTCGTCCCCCACCACAAGATACCGGCGACCTTCTTGGCTTCGCTCGGACCTACCGTTCGCCCTTCATCCTGGCGAGTCATGATTGCTCTGATTTCTGTTCGCCAATCTTTTCCCCGTCGGACACCGCCAACACTCTACTGAAGGCTGAAGTAGAAGCGCCGCACGACAGTAGTTAACTGTCCCTTTTCCTTTCCCGACTAAGCTAGACAGTATGTCTGCCCTCGTGTTTTGTTCCCTGGGAATGTGCTGTATGTCAACTTTATCGAACGCTTTTGTGAGGTCCGTTGCTCGTTGGAAATACCGCAATAAGCGTTCCTCTCGGACTTGGAAGTTTGCCATTCATTTGACCACTACCAGCTCTGAGTCTGTCCGGCAGGTTATTCTCCTTGCCCCCATGTCTTTTGCCAGCTCGAGGCCGGCCACCAGTGCCTCATACTCGGCTCTATTGTTTGATACCTTGAACTTGAAGATCAGGGAATGTTCCAGCAAGAATCCGTTGGGGCCCTCGAGCACGATGCCGGCCCCGCTGATCGATCGACCAGACGCTCCATCCACATACAAGCTCCACTCGTCCTGGCCGGACGGTGGTAGCTCGGCCGCGAAATCTGCTAAGTGTTGGCCTTTGACCGATCCTCTCGGCTCATACTGTAAGCCGAATTCCGAGAGTTCAACCGCCCATGCCACCATCCGTCCGGCTAAGTCCGGCTTCCTGAGGATTTTGGAGATAGGGAAGTCGTCCTGACTATCACTGAGGCTTGGAATAGGACGAAAGGGGGGGGGGGCCCTTCGGGATGCGTGCAACAAAGCTAAGGCCACCTTCTCTACCTGCTGGTATCGGGTTTCGGCGTCTAGGAGCGTGCGACTCACAAAATAAATTAGCCTCGCCTGAGGCCGTTCTTGCATTAGCACGACACTAATGGCCGTCTCTGACACTCCCAGGAAGATATGCAGATCCCCTCCTGGGACCGGGCGGTTCATGACCGATGGATTGACAAGGATGGTTTTGACGTCCTGAAACGCTCGTTCGCATTCGTCGTCCCAGGCCGGGCCGGCCCCTTTCTTCAATTTTCGCAGGACCGGCCTCATTCTCTCCGCCAGGTTGGGATTAAATCGGGAAAAGGCGTGAGGGGAGGGTCGACCAGTCTTGGATGTTCCAAGGTGGTCGGACTTGGCATTTGTAGTATCACGTACACTTGTCCGGTTTGGCCTCGATCCCCCTGGATGTCAACATGAAAGCCCAAGAGAACTTTCCGGCAGCTACCCCAAAGGGAACATTTGAGCGGGGTTTAGGCGCATGCCGAACTTCCTTACTTGGCGAAACACCTCCCTCAAGGTCTTTAAGGTGTCCATCTCCCATCCGCGGACGGACTACCATGTCGTCTCCCAATATACGTCCATGCACCGGCCTATTTGTCACGGAAGATCTGTCCCATAGAGCTGGTTACGTCGCCCGCATTTCTCAGGCCGAATGGCATGACATCGGAACAGAAGTGGATTTCTCCGTTTTATGAATGCCGTTCTTGTCGAATCCGGGCCCATACAGGGTATTGGTTGTATCCGGAATATGCATCCAAGAAACTTAGTACTCGATGTCCAGAGGCGCCGTCCACCAGGGCGTCTATACTGGGTAGGGGGTGTGAATCTTTCGGGCAGGCTTTGTTCAGGTCCGTGTAGTCAGTGCACATACGCCATTTTCCACTGGCCTTTTTCACCATAACCACGTTAGCTAGCCACGTGGTGTACGTGACCGCTCGAACAAAACCAGCTTTCTTCAACTTCTCTACTTCCTCCTCCACAGCCTTTCGTTTCTCCTCGCCCACTCTTCGCTTTTTCTGGGCGACCGGACGGGCGTTTTGGAAAAGCGAGAGCTTATGGCACATCACTGCGGGATGGATGCCTGGCATATCAGCTGCCGTCCACGCAAATAAATCCCGGTTCTTCCATAGGAGTGCCCTCAACTCCCTTTCCATCTCAGGGTTCAGCTCCCTGGCGATGAGGGTGGTCTGAGTGGGTTCCCTTCCTATCAAGATAGGTTGGGTTTCTCCAATAGGCTCCAGACGGTCCTCGGTATTCGTTCTTGGGTCGAGGTCTGCCATGGCCACCTCAGAGCCGGCCGCCCGCCTCTTTACTGGTCGGACGTGTAGCTTCAACCCCGCCGCGTAGCACTCCCGTGCCGTCCTCTGGTCCGCCCGGACCGTGCATATAGTTCCCTTCTCACAAGGGTACTTCATCGCGAGGTGGGGTGTTGAGACGATCGCTCCAAACGCGTTTAAGCACGGCCTCCCGAGCAGTATGTTGTACGAGGTGTTTGCCTCTACTAGCAGATACTGAATCCTCTTTTCCTCGCCGGAGCGACCGGTCCCCAACCTTGTCCTCAACTCCACATATCCCCTTGTATCAACTCTTTCTCCTGCAAACCCCACTATCTGCCCATCATAAGGGACGATAAGTTCCTCTGAGATGTCCATTTGCAGGAAGGTCTTCCAGTAGAGGATGTTGACCAAACTCCCCTGGTCGACCAGAACTTTGCTGACTCCGTAGCGCGCTATCTCCGCGGTTATGACCATAGGGTCGTCCTGGTCAGGGTCGGGCGCGTGAAAATCTTCATCCGAAAAGGTAATGGGCGGCATGGAGCGACGTGGTTTGTCAACCAGATGTACGGACTGGAGGGCTCGAACATGGCGCTTACGGGCGGAGGAAGACGATCCTCCCGCGAATCCTCCAGAAATAGTGTTGATGTGCCCCCTCAGGGGGCGTTCTCGATTGCGGATGCGACCCTGGCTATGTCGACTCTCTAGCGAGGACCGCTACGTATTTGAATCCACGGCTGATCATTCCGGTAGGAATTGAGGAA